ATTAAAATGATTAAAATGAATAATTGATAACTTGAAACAGGAAAAGGTTCAAAGGTGTAGGGGTGGTGGGAGGGGAAGGGGAAAGGGAAGAAGGGAAAGGAAAAATCATGAGAAAAGAAAAAAAAATGGAAACGAAATCTATGCAAATAGGGAAGAGTGGAGGGAGTGAAGGGTGCACAGGCAATGGGGGGGAAAATAAGAACTAAGATACATCACATACAGGTACAAGCACCCAATAAATGTAAATGTATTGTATACCTAAAATGTACCAATAAAAGAATTTCAAAAAAAACAACAGGCAGCACATGAAAAGGACACAACAGAGAGACATTGTGGGGAACATACATTTCAACAGCGTCTACTGGTACACAGATTTGACAGCATCAGTTTGAACAAGACATTAAATGTCCAGTTGGCAAAGAAGCAAGGCTGATTGCAGCACGTGTAAAATTGTCCTGTTGGCGGCGAGCGTTGGGGTTCTTAGACCCAGAGACAGTAGGAGTTGATCTTGACAAAGTTCCTGGAGTCCAAGAGTGACTACATGGCAGACCAGAAGGCTGTAAATTAAACAGAGCTATTCTCGAAAGAGGTGATTAGCAGCCACAACCTCAGGGGATCTCGACCTGAATATGTAACAGTCACAGTGTGGTCAGGGTCCGCTGTTATAATTTCGGCAGCCCTCGACTTAGCAGGGTGTCTTTTTACCCACACCTTGGAGCCAATTCCTCCGGAGTAGGTTTCCTGTGTTTAGAGGAAGCCTCAGAGGTTAAATCGGCACTGGCAATCTTAGCCAGGGGGTCTGTCACGGAGCTGTACTCGGGTTCACAAGGGCTGAAGTTTGCGTGAGCGGCGGCGCGACCAGCATCTCGCCAGCCTGCTGCGCACAGCACGGCGCGGGCTCCACCTCCTTGGCTGCGGCGCGGGGAGCGGGGAGCGGGCGGGGTCTGGACGCTGGCCTCCAGGCGAGGTCACAGTTTAGGCGTCTGCACACCACCCCACCCAGCACAAGTCAGTGTTTTTCCTCTCAAGTGTCACGGTCAGCAAAGCCTCTGTAAGCTGCGGCGGTTTCCTGGTGTGAATCTTTCCATCTTAATCCTCACACAATCCTGTCCCATTTGTCCACTTTTTAGCAAGCTGTGAGTATGGCAAGTTTTCTCAACCCAGAATATCACACACAGGTAACAGCAGAGTTCTTTAAAAGTGGCTTTGAGGCCGGGGATTTAGCTCAGTGGTTCTGCTGCCTGCCTCGCTTAGCGTAAGGACCTGAGTTCGATCCCTGGTACCCCCCCCCCTCCCCAGTGGCATTCTGGTTTTGGCGGATCCTGTTCGGATGCCAGTTTGTAACGGTCATGTGCCACATATGTATATGTGGCCACAGAGAGTTGAGGTGTGGATCCGAACTTTCTGTGGCACTCCTTGCTGTCACACACTGTCGGGGCAAGGTTTTGTTTTTCCTTTTTCTTTTTTGTCCCCTAGACTATTCCAGCTCCTCCGGGCTGTAAACAACGGCTTTGCCTAAGAAGTTGCAATGAAATAGGAAGCTCGTGGAAGAACATTCTTAATTGAACTGCCAAGTGCGGGCTTTTGAAACCACTCAGAAGTTTACCTGAATTCCAGCCCGAACTACATCTTTTCTACTAGGGCTGGACACACTTCTGGAATCTAACACTTCCCCAGGGAATGTTTTCCTCCCCTGATGGAAGCCATGCTTCACCCCATGCTTCACCCCATGCTTCACCCTTCTTTGCTCATTTCCATGGCTGACACTGACCCACTGCCCGCTGTGTGGAGCTACCTCACTGTGGGGCTCGAGATCTGACCAGGGCATCCACCCGGGCATGTTGGACCTTCCAAGCCTTGGTTCTGGGTTTGCTCTGCACCAAGGCACCCTGTACACCCACCTTGGGTTGAGCACTCTCCATTTCTTAGCTTGCCTATTTGTCTGTCACCGCCCCCCCCCCCAACCATCAGCTCAGGTGGGGAGACCTTTTGTTCCTCTGTACCTGACACATGGATGCAGGGCTGTGGAATGAGCAGGTTGCTTCAACTTTCCAAGCCTGTGGATTGGCTGCTTGGCCTAGGGAGGACTGCTACCCAATGGCAATCCAGACAAAATCTCAGGATTGTAAACCAGCAGGTAGCACTTGCTTCATTTGCTCTTCAGCTAGATTTTGAGGGAAATAATTACATTTTATATCTTCCATCTCTTCCCTCTCATTTTTCACCCACACATATACAGATACAATTTACTCTGAAAACTGAGACTGTTGAATTGTTTATATTCAATTAAGAGATGTTTGTCTTGAACAAACCTCTTCCTCATATTTCTATGCAGAAGTGACATTAAGTAGTATAGGTTTTGGGGGTAGTTTTAATGATCAAAGAAATATGAAATTTTTTGTTTTTCAAAGGAAGGAATTCATGCTTAACCTCATCTCTGACGTTCAGTTACAAATGATTCTCCAATTTTATTTAAATATTCAAATAAGTGTTACCTTCTCTTATTTGTTCATTTAACAATGCTGCCTGCCATTTCTCAGGACATTTTTTGACATTCTAGGCTGTAAGAAAAGTAGATTTGTCTCTTTCTTGTAACACCTCAAATACCCCAGAGTTCTGAGATGGACAGTCATACTGAGTGCAGCCTTAGGATCCCCACTCCCTACACTCCCTCTAAATTTTTTAAATTGACAATGTTCTTTCAACGTGTACAGACTAAAATATCTCAGTTTCCTGAAACATAAAAGAACATGATTTATTGACCTTATTTAACCAGAGAAAACACATGGTGTCACTTAATACTAATTCCAGATTTTTAGTATAAGCAACACCTCTGATGGAACTAAGTATCTCTTGAAGAAAGGAATAATGCAAAGCTTCATTTGCTCATCTGAGAACAGAACAGGCCAAAGTTTAAAATTATACTCCTTGGATTCAACAGATTATTAAAATATTTGGCTAAATGGTTAAATACACTTAACTGAAAGTCACAATGTTTTCAAATACAACATCTGGAAATGCACTAATTGCTCTTCATCTGTTTCTCAGATGAGTAACAGATTCTCATGGCAATAGCATTATTGACTTTACAAAATCATAGACCATAATATAGGATACAGTTTCTTGGGGAATCAATTTTTTTTTTAATTTTTTTTTCCTTGGGGAATCAATTTTGATCAATAGTGATTAGCCTAAAACATTTTATATTAAAAACCACATTTGAATAGATAGGAAAAGAAGAGACATTTCTATGAAGTTTTAAGATTGGACAATTTTGAAGAACAAAAGCTTTTTGCTGTAATGCCAGTAGCATCATTTCCCCAACCATTTGCCACATCTGTATTCATTCACTTTGGTTTTCTTAAGGATTATTTGAGAGAAGTTCAAGATCCCTATCTTCATATATTGACATCAGGCAGGATTACTAAGTGACCTTGAAAAAAGCTAGCTAAATTTTCCCATAACTGTGTTTTGGTCTTTATCATCTACTCCTCCCCCATCTCTTCCCCTTTCCCCAGTCCCTTTCCCATTCCCAGGTCTGTTAACTCCTTGGCAGGTTAAATGAAATGTAAGGCACAGAAAGACAAATACCTCATGTTTTCACTTATACATGGAAGCTCTTGGGCTGGGGTTATTGCTCAGGGTTAGAGCATTCGTATGTAAGGCCCTGGATGTCATAAAAATAGAGTAAAGTAGTGTTTACAAGGCTGGAAAGAGTGGGAGATGTCCAGGAGGTGGTTAACAATGAGTAGAGAGGTACAGTTAGATAGGAAGAATAACTTTTTTTTTGCAGTTCTCGTGGCCAAACTCAGGGCTTCACAGAGTAATTTCTAATGTTTTGTAGCACAGAAGGGTAACTATGGCTGAAAACAATTATTGTAGATTCCAAAATGGCTAGAAGAAAAGATTTTGAATATCCCTAGCACAATGAAATGGTCATTTTATGTAATGGATATTTACACTGATATGATAATGACACATTGTATACATGTATTGAAATACCACACAGTACTCATAAATATGTACAATTATGACATGTCAATTTTTAAAAACTTTAAATATATTCACAAACAACAACCCAAAAGTTGCCTCCTATTTTAGGCTACCTTTGAGGATGGCAATAAAAGTACCAAACTGTTATGAACTCTCTTTTTCTTTTCTTTTTTGTAATTGTCTATAAGTACCTAAGTATTGTGCATGAGACCCCTGGTTTTAGATCATGCTGGTTTTCTCATGTTAGCAGTCCCTTTCATGAGCAAACTAATTTCCAGCATCCACACAAGCTTCTCACATTCTGCTTCCATACCTTTGACTCTGGTCTGTTCACATCACTCTACTCCCTCTGTGTTTATTCCTTCTGGTTTCTTTCTACCAATGTCCACCTGCTTTTCCTGCTTTACAGTGGACACAAGAGGTGAAGGCAGGAGCTGTTTTTTGTTAATATCCAATATGCCACTCCCCCATTTCCCACACTAGCTAAAGGTGAACATAGCTGATGATGCCATTTTATGTAATGTATAAGCCCGTGTCTAATTTTTTCCATTGTTTCAATTCTTCCATTTTCTACACAACACTTGAATAAAATTTCAAAAATGAAATTTTCTAGGGCCGGGGATTTAGTTCAGTGGTTCTGCTGCCTGCCTCACGAGTGCAAGGTCCCGAGTTTGATCCCCAGTACCCAAAAAAAAAATGAAACTTTCTAAAATCATAAGACAAGGCAATGATCAAAAGTGCTTGGAAAGAATAGAGATGATTTTCTTAATGGTGGATATATATTTAAGAAATACTGTTAACCTAATTTACCCCCCCCTTTCAGCCAATGAGACAGAGTAAGACAGAAAGAAAATGATTTTAGCTGGCTGAGAGGGAAAAGAAAGACACATACAGACTTCTCATTATGTTCTAGGTAGTGATGGCCAACATTTTAGAGGCCGAGTGGCCAACATTTTAGAGACTGAGTGCCCAAACTGCAACCCCAAACCCAGTTATTTATCACAAAAGGGTCAACACTGCAATTAAACCTGAATATGTGATGCTGAGCTGCTGGGGCGATTTGGCTCTCATGCCGACAGAGAGGACTCTGCATGTCCACTGCAGCAGGTGTGCCATAGGTTCACCACCTCTGTTCTAGGGAATCAAAAGGCAGAGTCCAGGAAGAAAGCAGAACAGGGTAAGGAGATCTACCTTCAGAACAGATTATCGTCTCACCCACTGAAAGTGTTATTTAGGAGCAACATGCAGGCAGGCTTGGTGGAAAGTATAGAGAAGGCATGACTGTGGACTTGACTCTAAACCCTGTCATTTACTATGGCACAATCATGTTTCCCATCTAAGCCCACAGTAATTTAATGCTGGGTCTTAAGAGGTGTGCAATTAACTCATACCAGCACAGGGCAGAAGTTTTAAATTAGACAGATGTAATGTATATTAATGGGCTTTTGTGACATCAAAGGAGCAGTTTGGGATGACTTTCTTTCTCTAAATGGGCTTTGATCTGGCATGCAGTCTCTCATTTTGCCAGAATTAGTGTGATAGCTGGAGCCTCTCTGTTAGAAATGGACTGTCACTTAAGGACTTGCTGTGTGGCTAAAGCTGCCCCTCACTGAACCCAGTTTCCTCCATAGAGATCAGACCATCAATTGTTCTATTTAAAATCAACCAAAATGAACCCAGGAAGTTTTAGTATATTTGACCAACAAATACTAAAAATAAAAATTTCTTGGCGTGAGGAGTATGGGTCAGTGGTACAGCATGTACTTAGCATTGAGGAAGCCCTTAGTTTAATCCCCAGCCCCAAAATAAAAATAAATGAATAAATAACCTTTAAAATACTGTTATTATTTTTCAAACAATTTAACATATCAGACAGGATTTTAGAATCAATGTGTTAACTCTAATACTTGAAAAATATATAAGTCAAATACAAAGACAAAGCAAAATATAACTATTTA